AGTGTTAGATATACCTGCAGATTTTGATACACTAACGAATTGTAGCTGAACTCCTTCACACACTCTATAAGCATTTAAGTCGGTCATAGATTGGTCAAACCTCATCCGGTGAACACGGCTGAGGTGCAGACACTGCTGGATCTAAGGACAGGTGGCTGTTTTTTAACCACTTTCGTGCCGCCCTAGAGCAGAAATACTGCTATAGGGTGGTACATATACGTGATTTTGCAGTTCCGGGTATGCGCCCTACCCACGCAGCCATTCGCAGCCTCGGCTTTCAATCACCGGGTCCAGGCCGGTGATTACTCGCTAGCACCTGGTGATCGTATACATTAGAATACATTTTGGCCTAAATTTACGCCGAAATTTGTTTTTTTTAATTTTTTTTTACTGGACATTTTTAATAGCAAAAAGTCAAAAATACTGATTTTTTTTTTCTCACAATTGTCGGTCTTTTTTTGTTTATAGCGCAAACAATAAAAAATGTACAGACGATCAAATACCACTGAAAAAAAGCTCTATTTGTGGGGAAAAAAAGGACGTAAATTTCATTTGGGTGCAGCGTTCCATGACCGCACAATTGTCAGTTAAATTAACACAGCGCCTGATGGCAAAAAATGACCTGGTCAGGAGGGGGGGGGGGGGGGGGTAAATCCTCTGGAGAGCAGGTGGTTAAAAGTTTTTGTAGCGGCTGACTTTTTTTTTTGTCGAGAAACTGGAGCCTTGCTTTAAGCCGGTCAAATTTTGGCTGGATTTTGGCCAGTTCAGCAGCAGGATTCGATCCATGTACGGGCAGGCTGGTTGTACCCAATTCAATCTATGGATTGTCTTGTGTACAACCAGCCAGTCAAATATTTTACATGCGATTACTGACAGCAGCTATGGCAGTAATCATTGTTTTCTGCTGGCCAGGAAGGCTCCCCACCAGGAGAGCCCAACAGCTCCATTGGAGGGATTGAGTGACTTACTTCCCAAACCCGTGGAAGGAAAAAAAAAATCAAATCATCTATGACCTTCCTTACAGCAATCATTTTTCCCCTTTTTGGATAAAGGTTTTACATAAATAAATGGTGATCATTGTAAGGTCTCCTAAACAATCCATTGCATGTGAATCAGATCACGCAGGGCCTTGCATTAAATAATTGATGGTAGACTTAAACGAGACTATACCGTTTGTATAGCGTTTGGCAGCGGCTGTCAACCTCTGAGCCAAAGGGGGCATCAAAGGTGGCCCCTGACATCTTTAAAGGGTCACACAATGTTTAATATACAGTATATTGTCAAAAGTATTGGGACACCCCTCTAAATCATTGGATTCAGGTGTTCCAATTACCTCCATGGTCACAGGTGTATAAAATCAAGCACCTAGGCATGCAGACTGCTTCTACAAACATTTGTGAAAGAATGGGTCGCTCTCAGGAGCTCAGTGAATTCAAGTGTGGTACCGTGATAGGTTGCCACCTGTGCAATAAGTCCATCCGGGAAATTTTCTTGCTACTAAATATTCCACGGTCAACTGTTAGTGGTATTATAATAAAATTGAAGAAACTGGGAACAACAGCAACTCAGCCATGAAGTGGTAGGCCACGTAAAATGACAGAGCGGGATCAGCACATGCTGCAGCGCCCAGTGTACAGAAGTCGCCAACTGTCTGCAGAGTCAATAGATAAAGACCTCCAAACTTCTTGTGGCCTTTAGATTAGCACAACAGTGTGTAGAGAGCTTCATGGAATGGGTTTCCATGGCCAAGAAGCTGCATCCAAGCCTTACATCACCAAGTGCAATGCAAAGTGTCGGATGCAGTGGTGTAAAGCATGCCACCACTGAACTCTAGAGCAGTAGAGGCGTACTCTCTGGAGTGACCAATCATGCTTTTTGGTGTGACAATCCGATGGATGTGTCTGGGTTTGGTGGTTGCCAGGAGATGGTACTTCCCTGACATTATGCCAAGTGTAAACTTTGGTGGGGATTATAATGTGGGGTTGTTTTTCAGGGGTTGGGCTTGGCCCCTTAGTTCCAGTGAAAAGAACTCTTGGACAATTTCACACTCACAACTTTGTGGGAACAGTTTGGGGATGGCCCCTTCCTGTTCCAACATGACTGCCCACCAGTGCACAAAGCAAGGTCCATAAAGACATGGATGAGTGAGTTTGGGGTGGAGGAACTTGACTGGCTGCACAGAGTCCTGACCTTAACCCGATAGAACACCTTTGGGATGAATTAGAGTGGAGACTGCGAGCCAGGCCTTCTCATCCGACATCAGTGCCTGACCTCACAAATGGAAGAATGGTCAAACATTCCCATAGGCACACTCCTAAACCTTGTGGACAGCCTTCCCAGAAGAGTTGAAGCTGTTATAGCTGCAAAGGGTGGGCCAACTCAATATTAACCAATTCAATACCGGGCAATTTTACACCTTCCTGCCCAGGCCAGATTTCAGCACTGTCACACTTTGAATGACAATTGCGTGGTCATACAACACTGTACCCAAACTAAAATGTTATTTTCTTCACACAACTAGAGCTTTCTTTTGGTGGTATTTAATCACTGCTGGGGTTTTTATTTTTTGCTAAATTAACAAAAAAAAAAAAAAACAAAAATTTTGAAAAAAAAAAAACACACACGTTTTTCTTTGTTTCTGTTATAAAAGTTTGCAAATAAATAATTGTTCTTCATAAATTTAGGCCAAGATGTATTCTGCTACATGTCTTTGGTGAAAATAACCCAAATTAGGATGTATTTTTTTTTAGTTTGTAGGAACCTTATAGAGTTCACAAACTATGGTATAGATCTGAATATTGATCAATCCTGAAGTACTGACAGCCAATCTAATTTCTTGAGGTCCAAGAATGTAAGAACAGTATAGATATCCCCCAAATGACCCCTTTTTGCAAAGTAGACAGTCCGACGTACTTCATAAGAGGCATGGCGAGTTTTTTGAAGTTGTATTTTTTTGGTCATAATTTTTCGGAAAATTAAAAAAATTAGTTTCACTATTTCTTTTTTACATATTGTCACCAGTGCAGTACAGCGTCATCATATAACTGGCACGGCGGTGATCAGGGACACTGACTGGTGACAGTATGAAAAAAAAAATATATATATATTTTTTTATTATTTTTTACATTTTTTATTTTTTTAAAGATTTTTTTTTCACTATGACCAAAGTAGTACAATGTTACCTGTTACCATAGTAACATTGTACTACTTTGGGGAAGAAGTGATCAGTATTTTTTTTTTCACACAATTTGCTTATAGCAAAGAATTACTTTGCTATAAGCAAGCATTTACCTGAATGACATCGATTCATTCAGGGTTTTTTTTTTTTGTGCTTAGCTGTGATATGGCCCCATCTAATCACATGACATGTCATGTGATTAGCTGTGACCATTCACAGCTAGACACTAGTATACAATGGATGGCATGAATGAAGCCATCCATTGTATACAACTGTCATGTGACCTGCTGTGATTGGTCACAGCAGGTCACATGGTACCTGCAACGGGGGGCCGATACTCAGATCTGTCACCGGCCATGTCCGAGGTACATGGCCGGTGAGATTTCGCACCGCTGCGTGGCTCTGCATGAGCGCAATCTGCACATACCCGAAAGGACGCCATATGGCTTCCACCCGGAACGCTGATGACATTTGCCGGCCGCCAATCGGCCATAGGGCGGGCGGCAAATGGTTAAACCCTACGGACTAAGACTGGGATGCCATTAAAGTTCGTAAAGGGAGGAGTCCCAATACTTTTGGTAATGTAGTGTATGTAATGCTTGAGAGGCCTGTCAGAAACTGCAGACCTTACAGAGGAAATGAGGGTCGGAGAGTGTGGAAAAGCTACATTTTGGTTGGGGATATGCTGCAGAAGATAATATGAAACTGGGAACATGAGGCTGGTAGAGATCAATGCTATTACCCTGATCAATGTTCCCACTACAGACTGGGGAGGTCCAAGGGCCACACATCATATACCAAGGGGCTGCTTGTGGCCCTTGGGCTGCAGGTTGGGCCACACATCATATACCAAGGGGCTGCAGGTTGGGCCGCACATCATATACCAAGGGGCTTCTTGTGGCCCTTGGGCTGCAGGTTGGGCCGCACATCATATACCAAGGGGCTTCTTGTGGCCCTTGGGCTGCAGGTTGGGCCGCACATCATATACCAAGGGGCTGCTTGTGGCCCTTGGGCTGCAGGTTGGGCCGCACATCATATACCAAGGGGCTGCTTGTGGCCCTTGGGCTGCAGGTTGGGCCGCACATCATATACCAAGGGGCTGCAGGTTGGGCCACACATCATATACCAAGGGGCTGCAGGTTGGGCCACACATCATATACCAAGGGGCTGCAGGTTGGGCCACACATCATATACCAAGGGGCTGCAGGTTGGGCCACACATCATATACCAAGGGGCTGCAGGTTGGGCCACACATCATATACCAAGGGGCTGCAGGTTGGGCCACACATCATATACCAAGGGGCTGCAGGTTGGGGCCGCACATCATATACCAAGGGGCTTCTTGTGGCCCTTGGGCTGCAGGTTGGGCCGCACATCATATACCAAGGGGCTGCTTGTGGCCCTTGGACTGCAGGTTGGGCCGCACATCATATACCAAGGGGCTGCTTGTGGCCCTTGGACTGCAGGTTGGGCCGCACATCATATACCAAGGGGATGCAGGTTGGGCACCAGGGGTGTATGGGCTTATTGACAGCTGTACACAGAGATGGCTTCCATTGATCTGTGGACATCTTGGATGACAGGTGCCCCCCACCAATCCCCAGCCTCTGTCATCAGCCCTGACCTCTCAGATCCATGGCCCTTAACATGTATGTGGAATAAACAATGGCAGCACACCCAGTGCAGAGGAGAAGACAGGTGAATGAACTCCTGCAGCCTGATGACTCGGTGCAGGTTAGCCCCCCCCCTATGGTCACAGAGCGGTGAGGGTCCCTAGCAGACATGTGTACTCCTGGCACAGAGCAGCCGGTCAGCCTCTCACCTCCACGTCGATGTCCAGGAAGCCCCCCTCGGCCACCTCGAAGATCAGGCCCATCTTGGTGCCGGACGTCACATGCTCGTAGTAGCACTCTTCTGCGTGAGCGTCGATGCTGACGAAGTAACCTGAGGCGGTGGCGGAGAAGAAGGCGACCAGGGCGACGAGCTCTGATATGGTGAACATGGCGAGGAAAGGAGCGAGCGCACGCCGGGAGTGTTGTTTCCAAGTCTGGGCCTCAGTCTGAAAGAGGCGTCACCTCTCCGGGCAGCCGGGGAACGAGCTGCTAATGCCACGTAACGAGTCTACGGCGGCCGGCCTGAGACACGCTCACATCCGGGCACTTCCGAACACAGAGACCTGGCAGCGCCACATACGTACAGCTCACAGACGCCGGGGAGGCCATTTTGATTGTGGGCAAAGTTAGTTTCTACCGTAGTAGGGGGTCTACTATATTCTCTATAGGGCATGGGATACGAGATCTTTTATCACGTGTTCATTGCTCTCTGTAACCCCACAGAGAAGATATTCACTCGCCTAGGGCCCTGTTACTTGTTACCAGGAGAGGAAGCGAAGGAGATATTTTCACTTGGAACATAGCGATGAAAAGCTGCTGTAGGGTCTGATAAAAGTTCTCTCTGTTATGTCACTGTTGGAGAGATTTCCTCTCAAATCCTGTTAGGCCCATTGCACACGGGAATCAGCATTTTCTGATGTTTATTTTATTTATTACAAATGCTTTCATATCGCCGTCCATTTACACAGCGCTTTACATATATATTGTACATTCACATCAGTCCCTAACCCTCAAGGAGCGTACAATCTAAGGTCCCTAACTCACATTCATACATACACTATATTGTCAAAAGTATTGGGATGCCTGCCTGTACACACACATGAACTTTAATGGCATCCCAGTCTTAGTTCGTAGGGTTCAATACTGAGCTGGCCCACCCTTTGCAGCTATAACAGCTTCAACTCTTCTGGGAAGGCTGTACACAAGATTTAGGAGTGTGTCTATGGGAATGTTTGACCATTCTTCCATTTGTGAGTTCAGGCACTGATGTCTGATGAGAAGGCCTGGCTTGCAGTCTCCGCTCTAATTCATCCCAAAGGTGTTCTATCGGGTTGAGGTCAGGACTCTGTGCAGCCAGTCAAGTTCCTCCACCTCAAACTCGCTCATCCGTGTCTTGATGGACCTTGCTTTGTGCACTGCTGCACAGTCATGTTGGAACAGGAAGGGGCCATCCCCCAACTATTCCCACAAAGTTGGGAGCATGAAATTGTCCAAAATGTCTTGGTATGTTGACACCTTAAGAGTTCCCTTCACTGGAACTAGGGTGCCAAGCCCAACCCCTGAAAAACAACCCCACACCATAATTCCCCCTCCACCAAACTTTACACTTGGCACAATGCAGTCAGGCAAGTACCATTCTCCAAGCAACCACCAAACCCAGACTCGTCCATCAGATTGCCAGACAGGGAAGTGTGATTTGTCACTCCAGAGAACATGTCTCCACTGCCCTAGAGTCCAGTGGTGGTGTACTTTACACCATTGCATCCGATGTTTTGCGTTGCACTTGGTGATGTAAGGCTTGGATGCAGCTGCTCGGCCATGGAAACCCATTCCATGAAGCTCTCTATGCACTGTTGTTGTGCTAATCTAAAGGCCACATGAAGTTTGGAGGTCTTTAGCTATTGACTCTGCAGACAGTTGGGGACTTCTGCGCACTGTGTGCTTCAGCATGCGCTGACCCTGCTCTGTCATTTTACGCGGCCTACCATTTCGTGGCTTCCACTTTGTTATAATATCACTAACAGTTTTCTGTGGAATATTTAGTAGCAAGGAAATTTCACGGATGGACTTGTTGCACAGGTGACAACCTATCACAGTACCACGCTTGAATTCACTGAGCTCCAGAGAGCGACCTATTCTTTCACAAATGTTTGTAGACACAGTCTTTATGCCTAGCTGCTTGATTTTATACACCTGTGGCCATGGAGGTAATTGGAACACCTGAATCCAATGATTTGGAGTGGTGTCCCAATACTTTTGGCAATATAGTCTATACTAACACCAATTTAGATAGGACTCAATTAACCTACCAGCTTGTCTTTGGAGTGCAGGAAGAAACCAGAGTACCCAGATGAAACATGGAAACTCCGGGCAGCTAGTGCCGTGGTTGGGATTCAAACCAATGACCCTAGTGCTGCTAGGCAGGAGTGCTTACTCAGGAACTTTTGACGCACGTGTGCAAGAGACTAAAAACTGTCTGTCAAGACCCGAGTAATGTTGAGTATAGGTGAATTTAGGCAAGTATAGATTAGTAAAATTCCTTTTCATTGCCAGTATTGTGGCCCCTTGTAAATAGGTGGCACAAGTTCCTGAGTACACATCAGTACATTATGAAGATCGTGTGAAAGAGCCCCAAATGGAAAAAAATATATATTTGTGTTTTACTGCTCTGTACTCAACACTGTATTACTGATCTTTACTCAGCTGTGTGCATAGACAACAATGCATCTCATTTCAGATCAGTAAAAAACTCAGCATTTTTTACTCTTTGTGTGCAACAGGCCTTACATTGTTATTGGGAAATGTCTCCAAGGGTACAGGGGTAGCAGTAAAACGTTACAGAGGCTCTAGTTGTTGCGCGACCCTTTGAGGGCTGCTGAATTTTAGGTCCCCCTATTTCCTGCACAGCCAAGCAACACGCATTTTCAGCAAACACATGTAGTCAAGAATCCAGTCCATGGGCTTGTTTTTGTTGTTTTATTTAGGGGAAACTAACTTGGATAGGGATTAGGCATTATGGGATGCCCAACTTGACTAGAAAGAACTTCCTGCATTTATGTACAAAAAATCAATCCTGGACATTACTATGGCCAGGGTGGTATCAGTCCCCTTAAGGATCAATAGCAACGTCACTTTTAAGGAGCAATAGGTCCCCTTGTGTGAGCTCTCACGAAGTTCCAATATTTGGTGTAAAAATACCAACCCACCTGGTTACTTTGGATAAGTGTCCCAGAGCAAGGGATGTTAGCTGTGACTCTGTCCCCTTGAAAGAATGCTGAATATTGCATCTGGCAGCCTTCTCCCATGTAGGCCCTGGGGGTGTAGAGGTACTCACTCTGTCCCTTGAATCCTGCGGGTTTGTATAAAGACTGCTTGTTCAGGCCTTTTAGCTGTGCTAGTCTTCCCTGCTGAGCAGGGTTCCTTCTAGGTAGGACTTGTAGTGCAGCTCCCTCTGTTTAACCTCTCCTCCTTCTTTCCCAGCTCCAGCCTGCAGGCAGAGCCCCCCTTCCCCGGGGTCCCCTCACAGGCCCACGATCCTCAAACACTTCATCTTCCACACGATCACCAGACTCTCCTTGCTGGTTAGGCTCCCTCATATTCATGGGCCCATCTGCCACACTGCCAGGCCTCCTGCCTGGGATTGGTTAGATTCCCATGAATTTGCAGATTTTGGTCTCAACCGACTAACTTCTAGAATCTTCTGGAAGACTCCAGAACCAGGGGGGATGGGTGCCAGAAACCTGACCTGTAGATCCCTCCAGTTTGACCTGAAGTAAACCCAAACAGACATGCTCACTTCAGCTACTTCTGTGAGCCAAAATAAATTTCCATCTCTAGTACCCCTAGAGGACAGTACATAGTCCTCCCTTTTTCAAATCAAAATAAAAAGTTGGCCGGAGAGGTACCCCTAGAAGATGAGTACAGTTTTGCATAAGGAGGTAGGTGTGTTGTAAGTGGTTGTGAAGGGAAGTATTCAGTATAGCCTTTTAGCTTTCTTGTTGCTACTTTTTAAATTGACTCTATACACTGACTTGGTTTATTTTCACCAAAGAAATGTAGCATAATATATTTTGGCCTAAATTTATGAAGAAAGATTATTTATATGCAAAATTTTGTAACGGAAATGAAAAAAAAAAACATGGTATTTTTTTTAAATTAGGGCTTGTTCATACTTGACTTAAAATGCTGACTCTTAACAAACACACATATTGTGGTAATGCTCAATAATAGGTGCGTTTTACTCGCTTTTAATGTGTTAAAAACGCTCCCCCAACACCACATTGTGTCTTTTTGGCGCGTTTGATACACATTAAAGGCGTGTTAAAACCGCACCACAAACACCTATATTTTTAAATAAACTGTAATGTTATTAACACACCGCAAACGTATGCCAGCGCATTTGCAGTGTATCACTATAGACTTGAATGGAAGGAGTTGAAAGGCTTCAACTCCTTCAAACTCCACATGAAGCTTCAATATGGCACCTCACCGCTTGTGGTAACTCCTGCGATACTTGGCATTGGGCTGTTGCAAAAGAAATACAAAAACAAACCCCAGCGCACAGGACCACCCCTTCAGAGAAAAAACAATAATATACCAGGTTTATGAAATGCTGCTGCACACAGGTGTACCAACCACAATCAAAACATGCAATAAACAGCGCAAAACACCACCTCAGTACATATACAAAAATTGACTTCTAAATTATTAATAATGAACAAATAATATATGGTGAAAAAAAAATTAATATATGAATTAATTAGATAGTTAAATAATAATGTGATATAATAATATAGTGTCCAAAGCAACTAAAAAGTCCAAGTGAAACATAAAAATAAAAATCTTTTCTTCCCAGTGCCAATAGTGATCCTTCCACCATCCACCAGTGAGACAACCAACATACACCGCACTCACCAGATTTTGGTGAGTATTGCGCCTTTTAGGATTATTATGGGCTCCTAGACCCCCTTTAAGACCTCCAAGATTTCTTCCACCCAAGATGGTAGATAATCCTTCTCTCGCTCCTCTCACCAGCTCCACAGCAATGCAGGGAAAAAAAAATTCAATAGTGTAATACTGCTACAACTCTGTAATACGTTTAAAAACCTTTTGCCAGACCACTCACATTTTCAGTGATCATAAACAGCGTTTATTAAAGCCTTTTGAAGCTTCCACAGATACACAGATTCCACATTCCTTTAAAACTGAGACCTCACAGCCTGATCCAACAGCAGGATGACAGGGCACAGAATGCACTATTCACAGTAAGCAAGATGGCCGCTTGGAACGCGCCGCTCAGCGTGCGTTCCACTCACCGAAAATGACGCGGGACGTCAGGACAGCCAACCGGAAGACCGTCTTTTCGTCTTGAGAACGCCCTGTGAGTGGG